AGCTGCTGACATAATGTGGATCCGAAGATCCATAATTGGCCTACCTGGGGTTGAAAGTCTCGATAAATGCACGGCATTTCGGCAGGTACACCGGCTTCCGTGAGTGTGACACTTATTTTGAGCGATGAAAAATAAAAAAAAATACAATTTTATTTTTATATGTCAATATCACAATAATCTTCCAATTTAGAACTACAAGTTAAAAAAAATACACTAAAATACACTAAAGCTAAATGCTTCTAATTTATTTTCCCAAACTACCCGGAGCCGCAGTATAAGGACTAAAGAGCCGCGGGTTGCCGACCCCTGGTCTAGGAAGAGGCCTATGTCATTTTGGGGAAACTGGCCCATGTGATTTTTCTCTGCTGTCTGGCTGATTGTCAAATTTATGCTAGACATGTTAAGCTAGCTGTCTATATGATGTTTTGGTGTACAAATGACACTCACTTTTTAGGTAGAAAAGAGGCTAAATTGCCTAAAATATCAAAGGAAGTTAGTTCATTAGCGTACTAAGATTTTTATCATTCAACTTTTTCTTTTAAAATGCTGCTTTTAATTACTAAATATGTTAACTTGCAATGCTAGCTAACATGCTAATGATCTGTTAAATCTAAGCCTGGGTAGATAATATGCTAAAGGTCCAGTAGCCTGTTAGCATGCAAATTGCTAACAGGCTAAACGTCAAAAGCCACTCATTAGCAGAATAAATTCTTAATATATATCTGAAAGTGGAAAATTCTCAAATGCAAAGATTGACATGCTTTCAATCTAAGGTATTGCTTTGAGGTTTTTACCCCAAATGTGTAATATCTGTACATCTATTTATTAATCATATTGTTTGTTTTCTTCTGTGTAATGAATGAAAGTTTGAGGATTACAAGTCACTAAAAATATCATTTTTATGCTTTTTATAATGTAGAGATTATTGCATGAAAGTTCATTGTACAAATGAAGTCGAAGGGAAGAAAAAAACAGTACTGTGTTTCTGTATGCAGGCCAGCTGTGTGGGGATGGCTGGCACCAGGTTGGCGAGGTCTGCCTGAGGATCAACTCCAGCAGAGAGAGCTATGACAATGCCCAGCATTATTGCAAAAACCTTGGAGGAAATATTGCTTCTTTGTTGACAGACAAACAGGTCAATTTTGTTCTGGAAGAGCTACAAAAATATCAGCTACAAGACAAGGTGGGTGGTTGTCATGCAGTAAATTCAGAAATGACAGGCATGCAAACAATGTCAGTGACAGGTATTCATTATTTTCCACTTGTATGCCTTATAAAATAGCAGTGGCTGTTTATGTACCATTATATGTTGGTGGGCGAAGATATAAATCCAAGTTTTAGACATGTTTGGAATGATAATCATAAGAAAGAGTAGCGTGGAAGCAGATGTAGGTTATCACTTTAGAATAGAGGTTTCTGGTGAAAGCTATATTCTTCAAGTCTGTGTGTATTCTACAAAAAAGTTACATTGAATGCCAATAATTTAGGTTTTTAATCATCTTTAGCACTCCTGACTAAAACGATGTGTAGTCACAACCTTATTGGTTATTTTATTTCTACTGTTCATAGTTATCTTTATTAATTTGGTCATATGAAGAATTCATGAATCTTCTGTGTACAAATATTTTTTAAAATTTAGCTGATGTACCTGAGGTTTTACCAGGCCAAATTTAGTGGCATTCCTTCTTGTTAAAGCTTGTTAAACTGCATGAAAAGGTTTGAAAGTGTATGCTAGATCACTTCAGGGCCAGTGTTGAAAAGATGTAATTATTTCCAATAGATCCTCCAAATAAAACGATCAACTCAGTTGTTTGTGTCTATCCTCAGGAAATTG